AGTACAGTAGAACAGTCCCATTACAATAGGAGCTACAGTCCCAGTACAGTAGAACAGTCCCGTTACAATAGGGGCTACAGTCCCAGTGCAGTAGAACAGTCCTGTTACAATGGGAGCTACAGTCTCTGTACAGTAAAGCAGTCCAGTTACAGGTGAACAGTAACATGTGTCTTTTAGTGTTATAGCTAGTGTTAAAATTAATCCATTACAGTTTCAGATTGTCTGTGAAAGGGATTACATGAATAAGACGTTGGGAGAGATTGCTATGTGTTATTTTACATAGTAGCAATATACCGTACATGCTGCATAGGTCACTTTAACTGAATTCCTTTCTCCAAATATTTTTTTCATTATTAGTTCTTCTTGTCCTTTTTAAAAATAACTCTAATGTGCAGCTAGGCCTTACAGAGACACCCTGTGTGAAAACAGGGCCCTGGACTCAGAGAGGCCAAGTGTGACACACAACACAAGGCACAACAGGATCTGGCATAGCTGGGACTTTTGCGTCATGCAGGGCCTCCCAAAGATGGTTTGGTAAGCACCTGCAATTTACAATATAGGGAAGCAGTTGGAGAAGACAGGACATTTGCACTGAATTGGCTGTGCACTATTTTAACATAGTAGGTCTGTATTTCTTTTCAAGGAAGGGTGCATTGAAAATACCTAACTGCAGGAAACAACGAAGGGCCAGAAGCGGGTGTCCTAATTAAAATATAATTAAATCATGTTCTACTACTGTATGCTGCTTCTTCATTTCTCTCTTTTCACTTTGCCTCGAATTATTCTTTGTAATGTTACTGCCTGCCACAAGATGGCAGCAATGACTGCGAATTTCGTACTGTGGCAGCCACTTGGGTTCAGGAGGGCGTGAACACTGGACAGGGGTGTGTCATGTCTGTGTCCCGGTGCTGCCGTGTTTCGGGTGTCCTCCTGGTGAGTTATTCACCGCGCTGTGTCTTGTGCAGGCTCAGCAGCGTCTTGTACGCCTCTTGGATCTGCAGGAACCTTTCGGCCGCCTCCTCAGGTCTCTGTGGGTTGTGGTCAGGGTGCCAGAGTTTCACCAGCTCCCTGTAGCTCTGGGTGATCTCATCTAGAGACGCGGCGCTGCTCACCGACAGCACCTGACACACACAGGGATGCAACACTTACTGGGGTCTGGACTGCTTAAAACCGGATCATTCCCTGGGAGATAGTGGCAAAAGCAGAGGAACGAGTAAAGCACAGAAAAGTGTAGTAGCTGACTGTGGAAGAGCATGCAAAACTGAGAACAGGAGCAGCTTCTGTACACAAAGCTAGGGGGGAGTGTGGAACAAGCTGCCCAGCCATGTAATTGAAGACAATTCCCAGGAATTCCTCAAGCAGTGGAACATCTGGTCCTTGGATCAATAGGCCTTTGAAACAATAAACAAATGAGCCAGATGGGCCAAACAGCCTCCTCTCATTTGTAAGCTTTCCTGGGCTCTTTTGACAGTGATGTCATGGAGAAATCTAAGTAAAACTGACGGAGAGTGGGAATAACTGAAAATACCGTGCCTCTTCATGGACAGACAGAAACAGATAAGCACACCCCGAGGCACAGAGACACTGCGATCTGCACTGATGTAAGTAAGGACTGTACACACATATGCACTCTCATGCTCACACATATGCACATGCACAAACACGTGCACATATCCGCAGAAACATGCATGTATGCACACACATGTGCAAAAACATGCATACGTGAACACATGCATGCACACACATACACAAAAACATGCACAGGTGAACACATGCACACACACATGCACACAAACGCACACTCATACACACACACGTGCACACTCACCTCTCGGGACTTGCGCTCTCTCTCCCAGTGCTGCCAGAGCATCTTCTCCAGCACGATCTCCCAGTCCTCACCCAGCCCCCCCAGCTCCCCGCCCCCAGTCAGGAGGCACAGCACCCTGTAGGGCAGCAGCAGGAAAAATCCCAGCAGCCTCTGCAGCTGGGGGAAGAACCACAGCCAGTCCAGCAGGGAGGCGACACACTCCACCAGGTAGGAGAGGGTGGCAGTGGTGTTGTAGAAGACACAGTAGCCCAGGGGAGCAGTGAAGGCCAGCCAGGCCAGGCCTAAGTGATACAGTCGGACACCTGCAAGGGGAGGACAGAGAAAGAAAGAGATTAAACCAACAGAGAGAGAGGGAGACACATGGACTGTAAACAGTACACACTGACCATCTGACCAGGGTGAGAGACAGTAAGGAGAATCAAACCCTGACAAAGTGCAGTGATCACTGCCTGGACACAGACAGGCCTGGCTGCCCAGAGAGGACAGGCTCAGTGACCACAGCCTGGACATAGAAACTGGGTGACTCTAGGATCAAAGTGATGGAGATAGGAGATAGAGGTGCAATTCCTGTTACACTGCACTGGCAGTGCTACCCCCTACCCCAGGGATGGCCCTCAGTTCAGCACTGCAGGACCAGTTTTTTCTATTAGTAGTTGCTGTAGCAGTCCTGTTGGAAATGGAGAAAGATGGACTGATAAAAGAGAAATCCAGAGACAGCACCATGCTGATATACAACGCACAGTCACACAGAGACCAAGAGCTGCACAGGCAAACTGGGAGGGACAGAAGAGTCACACAGGGAGAGGGAGCCCATACTGGTCTCACCTAGCGGTTTGGGGGGCGTGGGCTGCTTGTAGCGCCGGTTCTGTGCAGCGGTGACACTGGCCGCCAGGCTGATGGGAAGGGTGGAGATGGCGCGGCCGTAGAAGATGGGCGAGGTGAGGAGGCAGGCCGTCAGGGTCTTGGGCAGGTCGGAGGTCTCGTGTCCCGCGCAGGACACCAGGTGCACCCCGGCGCCCACGCAGAGCGGCAGCACCAGCAGGTAGAAGAAGCTGAGAGAGCTGAGCCCGATCAGAGCCACCACGCCAAAGTAAATCCCCACGCACACCTGCCCGGCAAAGCGGGCGGGGCTCACTGGAGGGGGCGGGGCTCTGCGTCTCTGTCCCCTCCCCCCCGCAGATCCCTGATTGGCCTCCTCCACGTAGGCGGGGATTCTGAAGATCTCCCGTGCCCAGCCCACTCCGAATCCCCCGCAGGTGAGCAGCCAGAGGAGGGCGTGGCTGTCCCGCCTCAGGTAGAGGTGGTGCAGTCCAAGGGGCCCGCCCACAGCCCACAGTGCGTACGTCACTGCCACTCCCTTACCCATGGGGGCGCCGAGGAGCAGAGGCTACAGGGCTGTGCAGTTATACCTGGTCACTGGCAGCAGTAATGCGATCTCAGGTTTCCCTCGTTTCTTTCATTCTGATGGTTTATTCTCGGAATTCAAAGCTAACAAAAGAACAGGAGAAAGGTTACTAACAAGAGGACGCCCTCCAGCTCATTCGTTTCCCATGATCTTATTAATGTGAGGATCTCATCTGGCCACGGCTTGATCCTGTCCAGGATATTGCCTTCAATAACATGGATGGGCAGCTTGTTCCACGCTCCCACCACCCTTTGTGTAAAGCACTGCCAGCTGTTCCCAGTCCTAGATTTCCAATTAGGCCCACAGTTCCTTGTTTCACCAACAGTTCTAAATTAGTCATCTAAGCTGACTTTTATCAGTAACCCGTGGGGACATTGAATTAATGCATCAAGTGTCCTCATAGTATTCTGTACTAATACCCAGTATTCTATACTCATGAAATTCGGTTCCATAATGGAAGAAGAGTTCATGTAATGTATGTTGGGAAGAAAATATTAACTTACACATGAGGATTTTGAATCATAAAATCAAATTTTCCTGGCAAGAGCACCCGGTCACGACTGACAATGTTCAGCTCCTATTACCCATCTGTGAGGTGACTGTCAGACTGTGAGTTTTCTTGATATCTGTGCAGGGCGGAGGAGCCGTGTGATAATGATCAAATCTCAGCCCTCTACGAAATGCACTGAGGCTCTAAAGGCAGACCAGGCCCCTAGCTCCTCTAACGACGGAGGACTCACCTCTGACCTTAATGCCCCCGCCGGACATTTACGTCTTCCTGATCAGTGACTTAAAAACGAATTAGAAATATCAAATTTGGTCCCAAGCAACAATGTTGATTGTGTGAGCTGAGGCGACGCGAAGTGTGTTTACCTCTTTAACGGAACTTGGCTTTTGAACGTCTGTTCTAGAGGAGCGGTCCTGTATAGACGGGTAGCGAACGGACACGATCAGCCCTGCGCTTTGGAACCGGGGGTCGGGGATTGTCTGAGGGTTTGTGTGAACACTCGGGGATCGCGATCACGCTTAGCCCCGTGTCCTACCCCAGCCTGAATGAAGCGTGTATTTCGTGAGTGCTTCAGGCTCAAGGCTCAAACCCGAGTGGTCCGAGTGGAAAGACTGTGAGATCTGCGCCCCCGCAATTAAACCCGTGTTCCTGAGCAGTCCGGACCACCGCCACGAAGGAGCTTTGTCGATTGTCGTTTTTTATTCAACGCGACGAAGTAAATTGACCATTTATCCTCACCTGACAGCTCTTCCGTCTCTCCCTTACTCCGTGTATCGCATTCAGTGGACTTTGACACCAGCTCGTTGTAGTAATTGCGGCTCGGACACAAACTCTCCAAGCGTGCTGCTCGTCGCCTGACATTTGGAGCCTTGAATCACGATGTGCGGAATTAACGATGTGTTTAGCTGACGCAAACGCATGTAAAAGCGCTGTGTGATTCTAACAACTAGGGTTCACGTTTCCTATAACCTGAACAATGCCCTGACTGGTGACTGTCGATCAAAAACTAAAGTAAATAGATGTAAATCTGTGAAGTAAATACCCCAAATTGTAGAACTCCTTTACCGGAGGGGGTGTCCTGTACCTGAATATCCTGACCTTAATAACTATATCAGAACACCTGTACTGGTTTTCCGATATAACTATTCGGTCTCTGGTACAGGTATCAAAATACCTGCATCACAACACCTGTGTCAGAATACTGTACCAAGACAGCTGTACCACGACACCTGTATCAGAACACCTGTTAGAATACCTGTACCACAACACCTGTATCAGAACACCTGTACCAGAACACTTGTGTCAGAATACCTGTATCAGAATACCTGTACCACAACACCTGTATCAGAATACTGTACCAATACAGCTGTACCACAACACATGTACCAGAACACCTGTTAGAATACCTGTACCACAACACCTGTATCAGAATACTGTACCAAGACAGCTGTAGGACCAACGGTCCTCAAAACTGCTGCCATTACCATGCCAAAAAAGCTTAACACGGCTCTCGACAATCTTAACAATTTTCGCCCCATCTCCAACTTACCCCTTCTTGCTAAAATTCTAGAACGTGCTGTCACACTTCAGTTACATAACCACCTCATGACAAACAATGTTTTTGAACCCCTCTAACCTGGCTTCTGTCAACTTCACAGCACAAAAAATTGCCCTGGTCAAAGTCACTAACGATCTTCTAATAGTTTCTGATTCTGGTTGTCTTCCTATACTCATCTTTCTTGATCTCAGTGCTGCTTTTGACACTATAGACCATGACATCTTACTTTCTCATCTTGAGACTGTGTTTGGAGTTTCTGACACTGCTCTCAAATGGTTCAAGTCTTACATCACTGATCGCTGTCACTTTGTCTCTTAATGGGAACAGGTCTGAAATTGGTCTTGTTAAGTGTGGTGTTCCTCAGGGCTCAATACTGGGCCCCTTGCTCTTTAGCTTTTCCACTTGGTCAGCTTTTAAGATCACATGGCCTCAGCTTTCATTTTTACGCTGACAATACTCAAATATACATCCATACCAAACCTGACACTGATGTGGCTGTCTCTATTCTATCTAATTGCATCTCTGACATAAAAATTTGGATAACTCAAAAATTCCTTCATCTTAACTGTGACAAGACTGAAGTCATGCTTATTGGCACCCCCCATCAACTTCGTAAACCAGTCCTGTAACCCTATCTGTAGACGGTTCTGTACTTGAGCTTCAATCAAAATTGAAAAACCTTGGGGTGATATTCGATTCTGGCTTAACATTCGACCCACATGTGCAGCATACTGTCAAAACATCTTTTTTTCACCTCAGAAATATTGCTAGACTATGCCCTATGCTATCACTAACTGTGGCTGAAAAGCTGATCAACACATTTGTGTTCTCTCAAATTGACTACTGTAATGCTCTACTCGCTGGGGTATCTAAATCTACTCTGAACAAACTGCAGTATGTCCAAAATTCAACAGCCAGAATCCTGACCAGGTCTAGTACAAGTGTTCACATTACTCCTATCCTGGAGTCCTTGCACTGGCTTCCAGTCAAATTCCGTGTAGACTTTAAAATCCTCATGCTCACCTATAAGGCTCTGCATGGCTGGGCACCTCAGTACCTGTCTGAACTATTATCGCCCTACTCCCCACCTTGCAACCTTCATTCTTCTAATTCTGGTCTCCTAACTGTCCCCCAAGCCCGTCTACATTGTATGGGTGACAGGGCCTTCTCCTGCTATGCCCCCAAGCTCTGGAACTCTCTCCGCAAGGATATCAGAGAGTCACCTTCTCTAAACTCCTTAAAATCCAGGCTCAAAACCCTGTTCTTCAGAAAAGCCTTTACTTAACTGGTTCCATTCTTCACCCCTCTGCTTTTCTTAGTACCACCATCCACAGTCTCCTCTATATATTGTAATTGTTTTATCTTGTGTATTCTTCTTATTTATTGTTATGGTCATTCTGTAAAGCGCTTTGAGAAGCCACCTTTAAAGGCGCTATATAAAATTAAGTTTATTATTATTATTTTTACCACAACACCTGTACTGGAACACCTGTACCACAACACCAAGATATTGTTTAGTGCTGTGGGGTGAGCCATGACAGGGATTAATATATCGATATTATTTATTATTATCATTTGCGTTATTTTTGTCCATTTTATTGTTTTGTATTTTGTTTAATAATACTTTTTGTAAATCTGATTTATATGCAGTTTTTTCCAGCGTTCTTTGTTGCTTTGGCGCTGTATAATTTTTGTACATAAAAAAATGGTCAAACTTAAAATGTAACACAAAATTGACTCGTCTCGTTCGTAACTGTAACCACCACGTCGACTCCGTATGCAAATCCTGCTATGATGACAGTTATCATTACACCAATCACGTTCTTCCTGGAGGTGCCTTCCGCCTCGGCGGGCCAATAACTTGTAGCCTGGGCTGTTCTCGGCCAATCCGCTGCGGGACTACAAATTCAATTTATCAAAGGAAGACACTTCGCCCCTCCCCTTAATGGGAGTTCCAGCGTTCTTGTCACCGCCCATATCACCCTGGAGGCGTCCCTGTATGGAAGCAGATCCACCTACTCTCTGATGTGTCCCGATATAGTGAAGCCCCGCCTTCGCCCAGATGACACCTCCCACTCGAAGCGGAGCCACGCCCCCAATGGGTGTCCCGCTGGCAGCAGGATCGTGCTCTGACTCTGACTCCCTGTTTCCCCAAGAGCTTGTGCGCTCGGAGTCGGAGCTGGTTGTTAGGGTACGCGGGGGCCGGCTGAGCCGCTGGGAATCTCTGCGGCTGTGTTTAGAGAAATGCAAGCCTCGTAGGAGAAGCCGAAGAAGAAACAACCACCGTGTGGATCCGTCCGTGTGTTTTTTGTTTTTTTTTCCAGTGTGCTGAGCAACTCTCACGACATGGTTATTGCGGAGAATGGAAGCAGACGACGTGACTGTTAGAGAGCAGCTGTTCCACAACCGAGTCCGAGAAATCACCGTGAGTGCTAGCCACCTTTTCATCTTGCTGTTCAAGTACAGAGAAATGGCATGTTTTGGGAATCTGCACAGCCGCAGCGAAGTCCGGTATCCCTGGCGCAGCGCTGAGATGGGCTGAGCGGAGCGCGAGAGTGACGTGGTCTCAGTTTGGGGGCGACGGGCGTCCGGCTGAAACGGGGTCAGCAGGGTGCAGACCGCAGAGGACAACGCTCAGTCCTGTTTTTAAGGTCAGGGTGTCGTTTTGTGAAAAGAGAACGCCCCTGTACGTCACGATCGCGGCTGCGGAGTAAACGCCGCTAGGGGAGACACGGGCTCGGTTCCGACAGCGGTTCTGACAGCTGCGGGTCCGAACTGGGAGGGGAGCAGGACGTTCAGAGGCGTCGCGAAACGCGCAGGCCGGCCGGGTGAATCTGTAGGTGACACTCCAGGTCTGTCCCTTCGTCGGACAGAGCAGAGTGAAGACGACTCCGTGTTCTGTCGGCATGCACAGCACGCATGAGGGGTTATTACTGCTGATTACTGCTAAGGTAGCTGTTTGCATGACTGTATGAATAAAGGTGGGGAGCATGAGAGAATGGAGGGACTGAGAGGCATAAAATGTACTGGTCTGATCTGGGCTGTACTGTCCTGTTCTGTACTGAGCTCTTCTAGACCGGGCTGT